AATCATAGTTACGATCGCAGAGGGCATGTCACTTCTAACAGTTGTACGGTCACGTCAGTCGCCACGTACAAACTTCCTAGTAGCTACAACAAGTAAACTGTCGTGACTTTTATTCGCTACATACATACATACATACATACCAGAACGATACACAGATTGTATAAATGTACGTTTTCACAGCCGTGCAACGCCAACCTTTACGCATGTCAAGACGTCACCACTACAATCGCAACACACGTGCGGCATATCGGAAAATATTAAAAGCGTTTAGGGTATATTTTTGCGTCACATGTTGTCGCTCGATTGCTCGCGTGACAGTTGCCACGCGGCTCTTTGTACCTTTCTGTAAAAAAAGGAACTCGTTATGTGGGACGCTTATGTACGCGGAATATAGTCGGGGAAAGGGAGAAAGCGAAAGAGAGAGAGACAGATAGAGAGAGAGAGAGAGAGAGACAGATAGAGAGAGAGAGAGAAACGGTCGGTCACGCGACGTAGGAAAGAGCTATCCGTTGGATGTCTTTATCTGACGCTATTAACCGCAATGTTTCCTTGCCGCTGTTAAAGGGTAAGCGGTTTCCTTGTTAATTGTCCGCCGTCTCTATGACGAAAGAAAACGCGGAAATAAGCTTTAGTCACGTAATAACCATGATTAATGCGACGCGACGTAAATTATAAGTCGTGAGGTGTCGCAGTGAACAGTGGACACTTGCGATCAGACATGGCGCGCGTGAGACTTTAAGTAGTAGCGCACTGATATGGTCAGACAGTAGAGATACACAGCGCGCACAAAACGGTCTTATTAGACTTAATTCAGGGATTGTGTATCTAAATGTTTTAATCTCATATCACTACGCATTAAAGTGGACTATAATGACTGTTAAAAAAACAAAAGTAATTGTAGGAATAACTCGCTTCGATTCAAATATAGAATGCAAATTAATATTGTCGGTAGGATGTTAAGCGGAGAGAATGACATTATAAATTAAAATACATCTATTTATATATCAGAATAATGTTAAATATAATATTAAATATAATATTAAGTTATATTTGCTGTAAATTGTATGTTAAATTGCATGTATTAGCAATATATAATGTGAAATACATTCAGAGCGCAAACAAATCGGAAGATTAAGATCTTCGGTATCGAGCGCGACATCAAATTATATGAATGCGAGAATATAATCACGCGGAATAATATTCGGAGAAGCAACTACGCGCGCATATATCAACAGCGTATTGGACTTTCATTCGATGGAATAAATATGTTCGAGGAAAATAGTTTGTCCCCGGGGAAAACCACAGACACGGTCGTGATCGAGGAACAAGGGAATACCGATAATAATGTAACAGCAGCCGTGGGATGATTATTATCAAATTACAATACGAGGAATGTGGTGGGGGGACGATCGGGCAGTCGTGTAATCACGTTGCTATTATAACTAGATGGGGGTTAGCCATAATTAGAGAGACGTGCATGGGGGTTAGTCACACGGTTAGATCAGCATCATCACGTAGAATCCAGTAGTAAAACTTGCTTGAATCCGTGTGCGGGATAGATTAAACAAACGCAATCGGTAAATAGATCGACGAAGAACGACGGAGGGCGTGGACGATGCGATTCGCTGAGCATCCTCGTTTCCATCGACCAGAAGCGCTTTCGAACGCCGAGAAACTCTACCCCTTTCTCTCTCTCTCTTCTTTCCTCTCTTTGCTCTTTATTGGAACGAAGGCCGTTTAAATAAGCACGGCACTGCGATAAGGATCGCAGGTGAAGTAAAATAAATTACTTCATTCGTAATGCCGAGTGGCCCTATTATCCCAAGCTGCTGCTGCTGCTGCTGCTGCTGCTAGTCCACCTCGCCATTATGCTCATTTTGCTATTTCTGTCTGACGGAAACAGCAAAGTGGCGTCAAAGACTCGGAAGTGCTTTCTTCTTTTCATCTCTCAACACCTCGAATTTTCTTTGATCTCGAATAAAACGAATATATCGTCGTTTAATTAACACAGCACAGTGGCAGAGATACACGATAATGTTACGTACGACGTTTAACTGATGAAACGGTTCTCTCACGGATCTACATAAATGTTCTGCTTCGCGCTGACGATTGTATTTTTAATTCAAACATTCCAAACATTTTAAAGTTTTTTATATTCTTGTTTAAAAAAAAAAAAAAAAAAAAAAGTTTTTATATTCATGCGTTGCACGAATTTACACTGCATTGAGCTTTTTTAATTTGTTCAAAAAAATACGAAAATTCTCTTCTTTCATATTCGCGATGGTTCCACAATCATATTTTTGTTCTCTATAACCTCGCGTTGCATTCATTTTTGCATCTGATATTTTGCATTTTCCATTCTCCATGCACATATACAAACACTTTACATACTGTTAATTTTTTTATAGCACGCATTCGTTAGGCTTATCATTTCCTTCGTAATTACGCCCGTTAATGAGTTTATTTTAAAGAACACGATATTTGCAATGTAATATCGCGAAATTCATAATGATCAACGTAATGGTTATCCTATGCATGATCCAAAGATTGTTATCTTCCGAGATTCGCCCGATGATAAAAGTTAAATGTCCGCAACGACGTAATTGTGACACGAAATTTAACCCACTCCCACCTCCTTCCCCCCGCCATCCTATTTGCACAGTATGCCGTCCGTTTTCTCGTTACTATCGGGGTGTGTACACACAAACCGAACGATGGTTAATGGAGCGGGGTAATAAAGCGGCGGGCGTTACATCGATTACAAGCCTGGAACGGAACTTTCCGCGATCCGGCAATAACTCTAAATATCGAGGTATCGGTCCGTACCCTGGATTCTCCGGATTACTTCGATCCGGTTAGTACGCGGCGAGTAACGGCCACTTTCCGACACCCGTTATACGCGAAATAGTCCCAACGACGTTTTCGCTAGTCTTCTTGTTCCCTTTGCTCATCTTCTCTCGCTGCCATCGCATAGATCTGTTATTTCTCGTATTTATAATTGTTTTAATCGACGATACTTGTTCAAAACGATTAATTGTGAAACAGATATTATATAATTCTTATTAATGAGTTATAAAAACAATTCGATTATATTCACTTATTTAGTAATATAATAAAAATACGAGGCAATTCGAGTATTTTTTATTGTCAGAGATAAATTAGTTAAATTACAGCTAGAGAAAAAAAATGTGTGAGTTTAATACATGATAATGTTTGATTTCATATTTCATTATCTGAGTTATTTTACTTGTATACGTTTATCTCATATTTTGGTAAAAACTTTCCTTATTATATTCCTAAAAGGGAATTGTAAATTGCACTGTTATTTCTATCTTTTTATTTTTATCAATCTTAATAGTGAGGCACGTTGCATTGTTTATTATATATATTCCGATACATCTCGAGAAGGAAGTTAACGATGCGCTTAATTGTCGAAAGCTACGATCCGTACAATAAATCATGTTTTTATACGAGGAAACGAGAGACGAGCGGATATTTCCGGATAGCTCTGTAAATTGGGAACGTCAATCGATACTCACGAGAATTGGCGATTCAGCGAGGTGTAATAAAATAGACACAAATCACCCAGGCGTGCGCCAATATTCGATGAAGTCGTGCAGTTGTTGAATACCCAGGAAAACTGTTTTGGAGAGTGTGCAATATTAAGAAACACAGAGAGAGAAAGAGAAAGAGAGAGAGAGAGAGAAAATCTCGATCGCAGGTCGGTCCGTCTGCCCAAGCTGGAATTGAACCGACCGAATTCATGAGTCTACTTTCGTGGAAGTTTCCATGCAGCGAAGTACCTCACCAAGTTTCGTTATTAAGCTTTCAAATTCTTAGTTTGCCGTCTTCCTACTTTTTTTGCGCACTTGGCCGTTTCTTGGTAAAGTTAAATAAATATAGTTGTTGAACATGATTCACATTTTAGTAGAGTAGAAAATTTGTAAGGAGTTAAATAATGAGCTTTATACGAATGAAATATATCTTAGATTACCGCATTAGAAAAAGAATAAGAAAAAAGTTGCAAGAGAAAGCTTTTCGAAGTTAGAAGAATTAGAAGATAGAAAAAGCATTATCCAAGTCCTCTTCGACAGTTTCGAAGTGGAACACATATCTTTTCTACATCGCTATCGTCGGCCGCTGCGAGGACTTAGATCAATATCAAAACCTTTCGTGAAGGGCGAATCATCTGCCAGAATCATCTGATTGCCGATAGGGAGTTTTACCCTCCGTGTCTAGAGAGAGCCACCAGTAGAAACCATCCTTCTCGACAGCATGACAAGAGGGTGGAGGACATTGGAAGGGTGGAGAGAAGGAGGTCGAAGAACGGTGATGGAAGGGCACAGATGGAGATTATCTCAAAGATACGCGACCGTCATCGGCAAAAGCTTTCACTTAACGGAAATTTAGGAGGCCCTTTCATTCGTCACCTTCACACGTTTCCCTAATCGAATCCGTGCGTGATGTCAAGCAACGCCAGAACGCAGGATATAAACCAAAAAGCATCGAATTTACTTTCACATCCGTGAAAGGGATGCGAAGACGCAGAGAGAGGCTAAAGACCATGGTTGAAACGGGAGGCCGGCGAATCGAGTGCTTTTCTTTTAACGAGCAGGTCGAGCGGCAAAGTTCTTTTTGTCGCTATTAACTTTGCCGCGCGCGCGGCCCATCGGGGAAACGGATTCATGTAAAATTCATTCGGAGTTGCCACCGGCAGCTAGGACGAAGTAAGGGCTGGGAGGAAGCAAGTTTTATGAAATTTACCCTTTCATCGTGCCGCGACGAGAGCATCGGGATATATGGCTTTTTAATGGGTCACCTTCCATCTCGCCTTCGACGTTCTCTCGAGTTTCTGGTTGCGGAGCGTAATTTATATTGAAATTCATATTGGCCGTGCGAGAGACATCGTGTTTAATTTATATACATGGAAATTGTTGAAGGAATAGAAATGAAAGTGAGATACGCGTGTAGAAATATAATTTTCCTTCTTTCTTTTTCAGGCTGAATTTTGCAAGTGTTTGACTGCGGAAACAAGGGTCCGCCGTTACAATGGGATGAATAAGGTAAGCTGCATTTTACAAATAGAGCAGATAATTTTTTTTACGGTTTTCTTTTTTAATTGTAAAGTTTTTTCTGTGTACACGGATTATCCGTCCAAGATTTGTTTTCCTGCACCGATTAGCGGATGGTTTTTTTTTTTAGGTCCGCTTTATATATCTTTTCTTTTATTTTCTTTTCCTCTATAAAGCTTGCAATAACTTTTTAATTCTTACCACTCCGCTGACATCAGGCAGTTCCGTTTCCGTCGAGCAGTACCGTGCTGTTTACAGAACTCTCCGGCTAGCCATATCGCAACGTTCCACCTATTCTCTGAAGTTATGGATGGTGAACGTCTGAAATGCGTCGAGGGTGAGTGTGCGCTTCCGGTGTTACACTCGGGCAAAGGGTTGAGCGAGCAAGGAACAGTTATTGCTCGGAATTTACTGTCCACCCTTACACATAGCACGATTCCCTTTCTCGGATACGAGAAGGAACTGCGAGAGAACCGTGACGCGAAGGATACGTCTTCGAAACGATCAAAAGTTTTTCTAGCAAAATTCTCCACATTCTTATCATTTGAAGCGTGAACAAAATTCAATAATATTGAAGAGTAAGAAATATATATCGTCCCTGGAATATCGACGATCCCGAGATTAACGACGATCAACGAAAAAAGCAAAAATCTGTTTGTGCAATATTTTACATTATAAAGTCGAAATTTCAATGATCGCAATTAGCTCTGGATTCTGTAATACAAAAAAAAAAGAAATTAATTTCGCTTAAGCGGATATCCTTTTCACGTCGCATTCTCGATTACGGCAATCTCGAAGGAACCTATTCACAAATACGCGGAATGTGGTTCCCATTACTCTGCGCACACGGTGTCAACATCGATGTAGCGTTAGTAAGATCCACCAGTAGGATGCGCAGCCACCATTTACTTGAAATGAGGGTTAGATACCTACCGGAAGTTTAGTTCACCGCCCACGTTTCTCCCGCGACGGTATTGCTCGCGAGAATATTTGCCCCGGCAGTGTTCGGTGCTTTCCGCGCTAATAAACCGTTCCTCTTGCTACCGTCGCTAATTACTCGACGAACGAGTCCCGAAGCCTTGCCCTCTTCCCTCCACGCCATATCCCATCCGTCGAAGTAACGTACATCGTTCCTCCAATCTCACACCCCTCTAAACACGAAACTACTTACTGCTTACTCCTTACTGCTTGTGCGAAAGCGTGTTCACGGAATTTCCGTACGATCGATGCCGTTTGTAACAGCAAGCACTTTATATTCAATGCCTTAATAAAATATTGAATATGCAATACATATTCTTCACATTAATTTTTAGTGATAAAAAATTAAATGTTATGCAAGTTAAAAATTTTTATCTTAATGAAAATATTCAGTAGATTTGTAGATCTAGCATTTGAGACTTAAGTGGCTTTGTGTTTTTCCTTCGTATAAGCATTGAAAGCACTTGGAAAGCATTAAAAAACACTTATTTTAGGAAATTGCACTAAACAGCAAGCACTTTATTATCGGCCGGACATGAATAATGACCTTTATTTTTAGGGGTCTATATACTCCCTGGAAAAACATGGAAAATCTGTGGGAATTTTTTTGTATTTGGAGAAATCAGAGAATTCTCATGGAATTTTATTGGGACTCAGGGAATTTTTAAAAAAATTCTCGTTTTAATAATTTTGCTCTTATACTATAAGCAATTTGCAATCCACCGATAAGTCAAGTTGTGAATTATATTATTTTAGGAAATTGCACTAAAAAATCTTTAAAATATTCTCTTTACTTGGAATTTTGAATAAAAATACCTAGAAGATCAGGGAATTTTCAGGGAATTTTTTTACGTTTACATTAAATCTATAAGGAGGATCTATAGGAATTTTTCTTATATATATGAAATAAAAAATATACGTGATAATTATACATATGTAATAAAAAATTTGTCGTGATAAAGTGCGATCTTATAGCATAAAATCTTATAAGATTTTGATATATCTTATAGTATAAAATCCTATAAGATTCTGATATTTGATTTTCATATATAGTATACATGTTGCAAAAGTTTCGTTTTAATAAATAAAGACACAGATAAAATCTCATTGAATCTTAAAATATAGCATTAATGTTAAGATATTGGTCGGTATCGTGTGTCATGAGAATTTCCCGAATTTCCAGAGATCGCAATCCCTTTCGCTTTACTTTCGCGTCGAGCAAACCGAAGCTCTGCTGAAACTTTCGCTCGAGTGCGACCGCGACATGGCGGGTGGATAGAGTTAGCAAGAGGAATAGAATTAGAAGGCATGAGTAGAGGAGACGTTAAACTTGTATAATTAAGGATGGCGAGAGGGCACTTTTAATAGTCGGTACGTCGCGCTCGTTAATATTAAATCCAGTCATCGGCAAAGGAGGCGCGTCTCAGCCAATTGTCTAGCCCGCGAAGTATCAAGGATGCAAACTTGCACGAGAATGGACGACGAACTCTTCGCCGGATGCCCGTTGACATAATCTTTGCATTTGACAGCTCGCTCTGACAAAGGATGTTAAGAGATTGTGTCATCGCGTCGTTTGAACTCCGAAGTTTATTCAAACTTTAGAAGCGCACAAAGCACAAGGACAGGGTGGAAGCAAATCAGAAAAGGGAAAAAGCGCAGAAAGAAAAATTCCTCGGCCGCCGGTCGTGAGGGCGGCTAAGTTATTAACGTTCCGATCTTTCGAATCACCTGAGGGCTTTGAGCACTTCGTTTCAGCGAAAGGTTGTTTAAACTTGAAACGTCTAGCCGTCTTCCGTGCTTGTCTTCGATGACGTTGACGGCGGTTTCTCAGGATACCCGTGGATGACCCTGTATTCGCGCCCATGTAGACGCTCGTCTCGTATTCCCAGAGGGTTTAATTAAGAGGACGTGTTGTCGGTGCCTCGTCGTCGTTGATCAATAGCTCAAGGGGTGCTATCACCTTCTCTGTTTCGCGTCCGTTTATCCCGATTTCTCGTTTCCTTCGCGATCCGATGAAGAAGGGAGGAGTTGGGGAAAGGGGTGGTTACGTATCTCAATCTGTCCAACCGACCATCTTTCCCCCACCGAACTGGCTTCGATTTCTGTCACTAATACTCGACAGGCTCTTTGATGTCGAGGACTAGAAGACACTATCATCGCGTCGTCATGGATACCTATGGTACTTGAGCGAAGGAGATCTCTTAGCTTCCTCTTTCTACGAGAAATTAAGCGGTCCACTTTTACTTGATCGGGAAATTGAGCAAGTATTCTTGTCAATAATGCGTATTGCATCGTCTGCTTTACTTTATTTGCTCTTAACATGAAAGAAATTATACGCCTCGTCTAATTGAAGAACCGTCTGATTAAAAAGATGACAAGACGATATGTGTGTATGTATATGAGATAATAAAGAATAAAATGCGAAAATTATATATCACAATTTACAGCAAGTTCCTTTAATTTTTAATTAAGCATATTTATCGATAAAAAGATCGCATTGAATTAAACGTAACTCATATTTTCGAATAAAAAGTCTGTTCAAATGCTTATAAACTGGAAAACAAAGCGAATACATTTTATCGATATTATACAATAGTATATAAAATCGAAACATTTCCTGCAGCCATTTTTGCATAACGCCTACATTTGTACTAAAGCTAATAAATCGCAGTGATCACAGATACCTCTTTTCTTCACCCGTTTTAATGACAGTTGAGATTGGCAGCCCGAAGCCAATATCGATACCGATATCCTTCCCTAGTATCGAATACTTGAGAGTGTTGTTTTAACAGAAGCAGCTTCGAACGAATATCCTCTTACATTTCCTATATGGAACGATAGAGATGAGATGAAAAATACCACATATATTCTCCTTTATTCACGAACTGAATAATTCTTGCGATCACATTTTTATTTATACAATATGCATGAATATATAGTTAAAAATCAGCGACAAATGCATGAATATAGTTAAAAATCATAAATAATTACGCGTATATAACGTTTAGTGCTGTAAAGTAAATATGCAAAGCTTTCGTGAAATTGCCCGACACATGTGAATTTAGAGAAGGTATGTGAGGGATATAAGGGATTTCACGGAGAGTTACGGAATTCATTATGATAACATACACTTCGCCTTTCCTCGTATAGGATTAAACCTGCGACAAGCGATTTCTGCGTTACACCGCTTAACACGCAAATTCAATTTTAACAAATTTATCCTAAACCAAGTGATGCGGCACCCCGACTAAAGTAATCTATTTATAAAGTTTGGACCGTTCCTTGAGACTCAATTAATAATGGAATTAATGCACCGTTCACGATAGAGCGTATTTACGAAACAATGAGAAACATTAAAGCGACAACAGGCTAAAAAAAAAAAAGTCACACGATGGATCTATTTTAGATTAACATAAGTTTTTAATTCATAATTTTTATCGTTTTTTTTTAAATATATATCAGAAACTATTTCAAACGTCTCAAAAAATCATGAATATATTTTTAATTTACAAATCGACAAAAATTTATTTCATTGACTGCACGAATGATCATCGATCAGATTATCTCAGTAAAAGAATTTGAATCGTTCCTGTATTTGAGATTCAATTAATAATGGAATTAATGCACCGTTCATGATCGAGCGTATTTACAAAACAATATTTAAAGTGAAAGAATAGGCAATGTAAAAAAGTCGCACGATGGATCTGTTCCAAATTAACAAAAGTTTTTAATTCATTTTCAATTTTTTTATCGTTTTTTTTTAAAATATATATCAGAAATTTATTTCAAACGTTTCAAAAAATCATGAATATCTCTTTAACTTATAAAGCGACGAAAATTGATTCTATTGACTGCACGAATGAGCATCGATCAGATTATCTCTCAGTGAAGGCATTCGAATGAATCCTAAGAATAGCGTTAGATACGCGGCTTGTAACATAGTTTATAAATTGTTGGTACACAGCAGATTGCAACGTCCTAAACCACTTAACTACCGCCGGCGTGCCGCGGCGGTTAAACGTGCATCAAAAACGTTCTCGCGCAGCCGAAACTCTCGAAACGCTGCTAAATCCCGGTACTTCCGGAATTCCTGGCATCAACGTTCATCCTTGAATTCGGGATTAGTATACGGTGCGGGCGCGTGAACGGGAGTGGCGATGCTATTGTTGCCGGAGTTTAATCTACATGAAAAGGAAAGAGTCGCGGATAATTTGTGACTTACTGCGAGGACAGTAAAATCCAACATGGAATTGGCGGGATTAGTTTTCAACAAATAAACAGTACAACTGTATGTTTCGATACTCTCTCTTTCACACATTTTTCATATATACGTATAAGATTGAGAGATAAATATATTTATAGATTTAATCGTTGATTAATCGTTGCTATCGAATGTAACATTGCAAGAATAAATTTTGTTCAATATTAAATTTATGTAATTAATTACTCTCAAATGTCTGTATCAAATTAATATAATTTTGATGGAATATGTGATATGTGATATGTGAATTACGTTAAAATTAAAAAAAAAGATGTTAAGTATTAGCTGATCTGTTTTATGATTAATTTGTGATTCGTTGACAGTTAAGAGATGATTACGCTTTCAATTTCAGCTTTTCACACACACACACACACAAAAAATCGATAAAAAAGGGTAGATAATAGACGGAGATGGAATGTTCTCTTCCCTATTGATCGAACCGCTAGAATGTGTGTTCAATTTTTCACGAGTATCGGAA